GCAGAAAAGTGAGTGGAACAGATTGTAAACACACACACTTACACACACACAATAAATACTTCATATTTACTTTTGCTACCTGAATGAATTAAACAGTGGTGAAAAGGGTTTTGCCGGAAAAGAGATGCAAAGAAGTTGAAAATATGTTATCAAGTAACCTCGATCTCTAGTCAAAACAAATAACTGAAATAAAGAAATAAATAAAAAGGTATAAGTGAACCGATGAACCATTCAGATAAGCATGAGAAACTGAATTAATTATTTATTGAACAAGTGTCTGCTAGTTTGTTTTATTAAACAGTTAGTGATTGTACAAAAAAGGCGCAAGAGAGAGAGAGAGGGAGTAAAGAAAATGGAGATTTATCGTAGATATACACATGGTCACGTGTCGCATTAGTAAGATAATTCCAACTCTGTCCAAAACGTATTCCCCTCATATTTCAGTAGCCAGTATTATTATTATTATTTTGGACTATTTGTAGACTGATTTTATTAGACCATAATGCTTGGTGTATGTGTAGCACTTGGGCACTGTGGTAAAATGTAGTTCTATATTAGATAAGTTTATTTGACATCGCACACAGTGATGGGATATTAATGATTGGATAAAGTGTCACTATTTGTTAAATTAAAAAAACAGTGTGACACTTGATGTCTGCAGAGGCTGCCTCAGTGATGCCTTAGGGTTAATATAACTGTGGTGTTTCTGTCCAACAGAATCAATCAACAGGAGTTTTAAAGTAATTATTTCAGCAAGTAGCAATTGGTATATGCCGAGCAACAGGTGGCTGGCTCTCATAGCCCGTTGGCCTTGTAGATGACGCTTGGGTGTTTGAGAAGATGGCTGTTGAGTTTGAATCACAGTGGGTATACTATGAATTACTGTGATAAAGAAACATTCAATCGACAAGTATGAAATAAGACGAGATATGCATCTTGGATTCCACTGCTACTCACTATCAACTAACGAAGTTGTATGTGTTTGAACAGAATGGGAGTTAATTAAATGACCGAATTTTTTAACAAATAAATATTTTGAATAGTGTAGAACTGTTGAATGTATCACTACCACATTGATAAAATAAATGTCTGTAAGTAACTTCATGTTTGATTATTAAATTGTGCTCTAAACACTCAAATTATTTTAATCCTGCTGAAGAGAACCAAAGTCATTTATTGGATAGCGTTTGGCGGTGGAAACCATGACGAATTTTTAGTCCTACTTAGGCATCCTCAACTAGGTATGCCTGCATCTCAGGAAGTGATAGTATTCCCACCGAGATTCAAACTTAGTCGGTGTCTTCACACACACTAAACCTTTCAGTACGACTAAATTAGTCAAGAGTTGATTCAAAATAATTTCTACAGATATCAAAGTTATTTAATTATAATAGAACAGTAACTTCAAGTTAAGTTTCAAGTTTTCTGTGAACAACTGACAGAAAGTTTACCGGTATCCTGTAAGACAAATTATTGGCTAGTACAATGTATCTAAATTATCATGAGTTTCTTTATGAGGATTTGATTTCCCTCAAACCTTGTCTTGTAACCGGAAGGCCCTGAGTTCGAGTCCCAGTGGGTTTATACTGCCGATGAGTCCCAGACTAGCACGAAACAGATGCCCAGTACTTCCTGGTTTTCAATGGTTGTATAAACAATATCCAAATTATGTTCGTGGTTAAAATGTGTGTATATGTGAGTGCGTGTGAGTGTGACTAAGGTAGTATCTTCACAGTAGTGAAGAGTTTCAAAGCAGAACAAATTAATGGCTCATTGCTCGTCTTGACTAAATGGAATTTAATTCAGACTGTGGTTGTATTTGATTTTTGTAGTGAGCTTTGTCAATCACTAATGTCAAACTGAATTTTTTCCCAAAGAAATCAGCTAAACTGTGGACAGAATAAGTATACGTTATCTACATTCGACTGAAGAAGGGGCTCTGTAAAAGGCCTAACTTGTTTTTAAAACGATTTTAATTCAATTGAATATGTGGTTCGCTCATCTAAGGAAACAGTTATTTTTACCAATATAATGTAAATTAGAAATTTCCTCCTTTTACCATAGCTCCGACATGGAAAACATGCTAAATGACTTTAGTCAGATACGATACAGATACATAAGGTAGTGATCAATTATACATGAATTTTTCTGTCTTCACATGTCGTCTTTTTTCTTAGAATCAACCGAAAACAAACCTTAGCATTGGTTTAAGGTAATATATAGGCAAAAACTGTAATCAATAAAATAATCCCCTTCATAACTAGTCCAGTGATTAGACTCAATTTTGGTTTTGAGTTGTGTGTTTTATTAGTTATTTACAAACTACTTGGATATGATATATTATAATTGATCTGAGGGTGAAGAAAAATGAATAGTAGTCAAGACAGAGAAAGGAGGCATATACTTTTTCTTCTAAACAGAGTGAAAAAGGAAGTAATGTCCTTAACCAATCAATAGTGAATTAAGTACCAGCTGATAAACATTGGGTGGAGTTATTATTCTTTTTTTTACACTAATGTAAATTTTATGATGTCCGCTATTTAGTCGGTTATCCTACCAAGTAATAATCTGAACTTTCATCTGTCTTGCTCTCCTTCTGCGTATCCCTTACTCACTCTTGCCTTCTTACGGTTGCTTTGCTTCAGTTATTATGATTTTTCCTTTTGTTATTCACTAACTATTTGACTCGACTAGTCTTAAGTAGGTTACTGTTACTACCACTGATATCGCTAACCAAAATAATAAGTATGAATACAAAAAAGGAAGGTATGGAAACCTGCAAACAGTCAGGTAGTTTCAAAAAGGATGCTGAATTCAAAAGAAAAATAATCAAAGAAACAACGGCTGCCTCTAGAATCTGATTCATTCTTTATCTTTGCAATCAGATTTGATCAAACACAGACAACCACTGCTTTTTCAGTCTTGAAGAATAAAAGCCTGCAAAGTAATCTTAATTGATGATAAAAAGAACCAATCGGCATGCAATATCATTACAGTACTCATATTCTCACCTAGATTCTAACTCGAATCAATCGCGTCAGACATAGGCGAATTCCAGTAATACTATTTGTATGCTTTGAACTGACTACTAGATGGTAACTAATAAAGTTATGTATTAAAAAGTGTGTTTATCAAATGATATTGATTTGATTTGTAATATTCCCGTTAAAAATAAACGAAATGACACAACAGAACTGTCCACGCCTATGATGTATCATCTGATATATCATGTCAGGTGTTAGGGGTTAATTGGTAGTCGGGCACTCAAGCTTACTTTTGGTTTCCAGAAAAAAGATGACTTCTCTCTAGATAGTAGTAAGTTTTTTTCTAATGATTTCCAACAGGCATGACACTCAAATCAGCTTCTGACATCTGCATATTTCACTTATGTAGTTGGATTGTTTTATTAGAGAATTTATAATGAACCTTGTTTAAGTATTATGTACAGAAGAAGAATGTGGCAGCGTAACTGAATTAACTGCGTCGGTGGCACAGTGGTTAGGACGCTTGCCGATCCTGCACATAGTCCACGGTTCGGTCCCCGGCCGACGCACACCCGATATCAATGGTAGGCCTGCTAAATTTGGGCTACTGATTTCAAATGCTTAAAATTCCATAGTTGTGTCAAAAATACTGTATGGAATCAAGCTATAATAAAAAAACATTTCTATGAGTCCAAGTCGTAATAGTTTAAACGTAACCAGATAAAAAACAGCTTGAAATTAACGTTATATGCCTAACTGGGCAATGCATTTCCTTGTAAATAAAAGGTCAGATAGACATCTCTGTTAGCAGAAAAGGCCTTCAGCGAAGAATCACTCTTTTCGGCGATATCATTCTCAAGCTCGACAATCGCATGTACGTAGTAAATTGTTTTAGCAACAAAAAGAATATTGCCAAAGATTAGAATTGCAAATTCTTTTCAGATGACAAACTGTTTAATAAGGAAACTGTTAATCAGGTTGAAACTAAAATAAGTTGAGTGAGATAATATAACTGATGGGACCGGGTAGAATTTAGCTAGAACTGAACAAGAATCAAGTTACCAGAAGTGGTAATAAGGAGTAGACATTTATTTCATATAAATAAAACTAAGTTATTAGCTGTTGGGTTGTAGAGACTGTAATCAGGTTTTTTTAGTAAAAAAGAATGTATTCCATAGTTGATTTATTCATGAATCAACATCAGCTGCTAGAACTGCTAAAGATCAGTGAATTCTGAGGAATTATTTGATGTTAGTTTGCAGCTATTCATCTGCATTCATTCATCAGTTAGTGTGAAGTGAAGCCGAGGACTGTCAGCTGCTTCATTATTCAAAATCCGACATTTTCCAGATTAACTCAGTTCATAACAGAGATAATATTACCTATAGTTTGTCCTTACATCTAACTCTACATTGGAACTTTATAAAAATCATTTTGGAGATAGTTGCTAATTAACAGTTGACTTGATCTGTTGTCCACTCATAAATCAGCATTGAAGATGAACTTGAAACCAGGACGAAATAACCATCTGTTTCTCATCAGTTTTTAGTTAAATTACAGTAGGTGGTGACCAGTAAGAGATCATGCCTTTAAGTAAATCAATTTTTCACACACCCAACAGTTTGAATTCGATACTTGAGACCTGATTGAATCACTGGTGAATTCGCTGATTACCGGATTCTAGCTGAGTAGGCGAATGGCAGAGTACTTACAGGGGTACCTTAAGGCCCTGGGTTTTATCCCAGTTGGATCGTGGGTGCGCATCACTGATGAGTCCCGATGCAGAACTCCTTGGCTATGAAAACGATGTTTGTTCCAGACGAAATCTACCCTGAAATCCAGCTTATTGAGTAAAAAGTTTGATTTAGTCAGTAGTCTGTATACACATAATTAAAATCTGAGTGACATTCAGATTTCATTCTACTTTTAGTCTAATTTATCATACTGCGATTGGCCACATTACTTTGTACATTATGCCTCTATTTACTCGCATTTATGTTTACATTTTCATATAAGGGAGTTCTATTATATTCAAATGGAGAAGTATGCTCGTGTTGCAATATCTGAAGGAATTCGTACGGCAGAAGAAATACACGTGACAACTGAATCAGAAATCTACAGAGCATTAAATTTACATTATAATCGTAATCAACAGTTGGAGGTAAGTAAAAACCTTGACATCTATAACTGAATCTTTTCTTTGATTTTACAATGTAATCAGCTGCAATTCTTGAAAATTTTTAATTGATATTAAGAATAAGAAATATTGGAGACAAAAAAGAAAATCCGACTGAAACAAAACACAACAGAGTTGGACTAATTCTCGATCGCTGAATATATCTTAATACATTCACATCTCTTTTAAATCGACAAAATGTCTTCACTTCCAACTCTCCTTCATCCTACAGAGTTCACTAATCATTCACATTTGAAAAGCTTGTTTTGAATTCATTGATTTCATTATGGAGCAAGTTCAGAACGATAACTGCGTTTGGATTAACCACCGAACAACTAATCTTTCTGTATTGGCACAACTTTAAGGAGCAGGTAGAATCTTGACTTCACTGAGACACAAAAGTTTGAAAAAGGACCCATTTACAAATAACTCAAAAGACTTTTATTAATTTGTGGTTGTATCTATTTCTATTAACATTAGGAAAATTCGACTCACAGTTGACAGACATTTCTGTGGACTGGATCTAGAACACAATAGTGTAGCGTTTACCAGCTGAACATTCCGTGTCTATAAGGAGATTAAGGAAGGCGGATTATGAAGAATCCCAATAAAAACGAGTAAGGAATACCAGTTGTCGTAGTTTGTTTGGAAGGCAACGTTTCTGGTATGATAATGAACCTGCCAGTTGGTTCCTGAGTCATACTACATCTCACGCTAGTCACGTCATTGTTATCACTCTTATCGTCAATTGGTCATTCATACTTACTCACAAACAAGACATCTAATCGGGATTTTTACATCTTTCTGACCATTTATTATTCACTAAAGTTGGTTGGTTAGAAGCCATTCAAAGGGGTTCGTGCTTGTTACTGGAGAGTAACCAGTGTCATGCACCCGGTGCTTATTGTTGGTGTATTCGGTGACGCCAACTCTAATCTCTGAGAGAGCATCAGTCGATTCCTTTGAGATGGTTTCCTGCCGATCACCTGCAACCATCTAGCATCATTTCAGAGTAAACCACGATGGCTAGTAACCTCGCTTGATGATCACATTCAACTGACGCTATTAAATAGACACATGACATTGATTACTTTCTAGTAATCAGTCAGTGTGTTTATTAAAGTGTAATTTTATAGGAAAATTATTGTGGCTATCACTATCTGTTATTATTTTACTTCAAATTTTAGGTACCAGATCACTTTCGTATAGTTGTGGAGGCGACATTACGTGAATTTTTCGTCGCCCTATACACTGGTAAAGACTCAGAACAATCATGGAAGAAACCAATTTACAAAGTGATAGCTAGAATGGATCAACCGGTCCCCGAATTTTTCAAAAGTCCCAATTGGATGGATCAGTTGGCTGATGGATAGACATGAGAAAATAAAAGAAAGAAACATTGATCAATTAAGCAATACATTTTGTTTTTACTTATCATATTTTCTAAAGTAGTATGGATGTATGTCTGTTTGTACAATGAATGTGATAAAAAAAGAAAGTATTCAACTTTGTCATTGAAAAATGTTCGTTTCAGAAGTAAACTGCATATACTTTTGTGCATTGTAATCATTTTAAAATTGAGAAGAAATTTAATTAACAATAACTCATTATATTTTGATTCAAAACTGTTAATATAACCTATGTTTTATTTTCAAAAACTGTATATTTGAAGTGAATTTAAAATGGCCGCGTTTTGATTGGTGTTTACAATTTAAACAAAAGCAAATTTTGAAGTCGATTCTTTCTATGATCAACAATTAAATCAATAAACGCACACATACATTGCTGAGAAAAGCACAATCTGTTAAACGTAATACATTCACTCGCATATATATTATTTAATTTCACTTCTAAATTTCTTAGGGTAATTCCCTTTCTTTTATTCATTATTTAACGGTAGTTATTATAAGATGTACAGTTGATATAATTTAAATTATTGAGTAAATCTGATTGATTGAAGGAATAAAAAAAAGCTTTTTGATATTATGACGCGTAATTACAGTTTAGACTACAGGTGTGTTCTGTTATTAAATATTTGAACCTTGTTTTATTTTAAGTATTACTGAATTTTAAAGGGTATTTTGTACAACTTTCTTTACTACTATTAAGAAATTTCATCGTCGATCAGTAGAATTTTGATTAGTTTTACATACTCTTTAATAAACGTCTTTGACCTTCCACTTTTCTATTCTTTCTTCACTGTTTATTCTTAATGCTTGGCGCAGAAATGTTGCTGTTGAGATGAAAAATAAGGATAGGATTGACTAAATAAATTTCAACGTCTGTTTACAATCTAAGCTGATTTCTCCTTGTTTCTTCGGCTACAATGAGTTCTCCACTGCCTGCATCTTGACTGGTTTGATTTCTTTTAATAAAGTTGCCAAATTTACTCCCTGATGAAATAGTACTGGAGTTGATAGTGATTGTCATGCCGGTAAAATCGGAAACTTGGAGGACAAAGAGACAACCAGAACAAAAGAACTATTGTTGCTGAGCTCAGCTCAAGAATTTTGTAGCATTATTTTTTAATTTACAGCGTATGACATAATTATCCGTTCATGGTACTGTCGGTTACATTGATGCAAGATATTCCACATGGCTGTAGGTGAACCTTTAGATGACTATACATAGATTTGATGTTGTTTGCTTGGATACAACAAAATGTCTGTTGATACCTACTACATAATTGTCACCTGTATGACCCCTTACTACCCGTACTCATGAGAAGAAGTGATGCTGTCACCTTTTCCGAAATGACCTGTCAGCTCAGTAATCAAATATGTAGCCTATTTATTGTCGCTATATTTTCCTTCTGTGTCTCATTCATTACAATTTAACCAGTATACATGTTTGGATAGTTTTCACTTCGTGTAGTGTTCAAATCTCATAAACGTTAATAGATGTCACTACAGTGGTAATATACTCGTAGAGCCATACCCTTTATTGCATCAAGCAGTGTAGTGGTATCTATTTTCATTCATTGCGTTCCGGGAGGAAAAAAGACAATAACGGCATATATTTGTTCCATTAGGTGCTCTGCTATCACTTTCAGCCGGCCCCATGACTGTTCACAGACTTTCATTTCCTCACCACATGATCTTCTTCATTTCACTCTCCGAAACCCAACTTATCGATTCCCATTTGAGTTCTACTCTAAGGCTCGACGGGTGTGCCATATCCCTCAGCAGTCTCCTTCGTGTATGCCCAATCTATCTACATTTACTTCCGCTAATTTGTTAGGCAACAGGTTTTCGGTTAGTTCACTGAAATGCCAGAGTTCCTTGTTGCCTATTCTGACAAGTACTGAGGCATTTGTTGGTTAATAGAAGTCTTCAGTAACCTGTTGGAAATGCTTTTGGTGACGTGCTGGGCAATCCTCTCAATCATAGTGAAGCACTGACTTGGTGTCATTGTTGAAAATTGGGATCTTACTCGTCGTGCTGAGTGGTGCACACACTGATTTCAGAGTAGTGAATGCCTATCTTGTTATCCAAATCCAATCTTGGGTGATTTTGACATTTTCATCTTGGCCACCTGCAGTTGAAAGGAGACTGTCGAGGCAAGTGAAAGAGATGGCTTCCCCCAGACTTATCCCATGTACGATGATAAATGTTTACTGTTGGTTGGTCATATTCCTTACAAGAAATTATAGCAAATAGTGAAACCAATGTTAGGTTTTTCTTCTTGTCTACCGTATTCTGTTCTAATAAACATTGGCTTTACTCTCAGAGACTTGTTCTCTTCAATAATAGTATTCTTATCCTGTAATTTTTGTTTCATATCATTTACCCTGCGTTATTTAAGAGTGAAAATCGTAGATGCGAATTACATTCGGTGTTACGGATTTTTCTTGAGTTTTTTTAAAGTTTAATTTAGCAAAATTAAAAGCCTGTAACTACAGTAAGATTTGCTTTGCCTGCTTAGAGTCATTGAAGTTCCTTTCCATAGTGATATTTTATCAAGTCAAAATGTTCACAATTCATTGTTCTGATTATTTCCACTGTGATAACCACAACCGACATGTCACTGTGTTCTCTGACTGGTGTCATCACTTCTTCACAATTACATTGGTAAATTATTAATTATTTTTTACCGATCATTTATTTTTTGTACGTAGTAATTGGTTCATGGCGAGGCTGTCTGAGATAATCTTGGTATAGCGGAATGTTACTGGTGTGATAACATAGACCGTGTTAAGATTCAAAGCAGCTGTCTGCAGATTACTAATCAGGCTCTCTGTCGGCTGGGGTTCAAGATGCATCTGCTAATCAGGTTATAATTTCCCGGCATTTATTACATGTAGTGCGTCCCCATTTTATGTAACATGTAACTGTCCATTTGCTATCACGTTTATACTGTTTGTATATATTATACAGATTATCCTCAGTTGATGGGTCTTACGGAATTCCTCGCGCATCCATTTAATACTTCTTTTTCCATAGTTGCCACTTGTTTTAAGTTCACTATGGGCAAACATTGTTTTCCGTTACTGAAGAAGAGTTCAAAATGCCTTCTACGTTAACCTTTAAAAAATACTATTTCTACTGTTGGTTTGCAGGGATTCGATTGTTTACAGGATTTCATCATGAGGTGATATCAGTCAGAGAACTAATGGAAAACTGTTTCTTCCTAGTTTGGGATTCTTCATCAGTACGCACCCACCCCAGGGTTCGAACCCAGGACCTTTTGGTTACCGGCTAATTGGTCTGCAAGCTCGTCCTCTAGCCGGAAGGTCCTAGGTTCGAACCCTGGAGGCGGGTGCTCACCGATGATGAGTCCCGAACTAGGACGAAACACCTGTCCAGTACTCCCAGGTTTTCTGATGGCTTCCTAACCGATGTCAGCTCATAGTGAAGTCCTGTAACCAATCAACCAAGTCCCTATTAACCAGTACTTGAAAACCAGTGAGGTGCTCACTAGCGACTGGCCCTATTCAGGTTACCTTGGGTTCTAGTGGGAAGTCTTGACCACTAGGGTGCAGCAGGTTGGATGTGAGGACAAATACTCGACAAGGATGACATTATCTAGTGGTTGGGCTATGTGGTGAATTGGCAGAAGTTGGAATTCATGGACATTGGATTGGGTCCCAACGACTTAATCGTCTACGAGCTTGACTTGTAACTGGAAGGTCCTGCGTTGAAACCTATGTGGTGGGTGCGCACTGTTGAAGCGTCCCAAACTAGGACGGATATATTACTTGTTAGAAGAAAAATGCTGCGGTAGAGTGGTAATCCATTAAATACATAATAATAGGCTTTTATGAAGTATACTGAAATAAGAAATGCGATAAGCAGACATTTCTATATTTTTCTTTCATTTTCATAAATGATTACTTATTTCCGGTGAAAATCGAGAGATTTTCGCTTTCTTCGCTCAGTACTATTGGGTAGACAACAAATGAATAGGAGTGAAGTTTTCTTCCATTGAAATAAGCAGATGTGCATTAGTATGAGGGTAAAGCATGACGCTACTAACAACAATAATGATAGAGATAAGCAGTGCCCACTCAATACATACTTAAATAATGTTTCCGTATATATATAGTACACGAACATATACCACATGAATGGAAGTCTATATTCTTGAGAAAAATTTGGAAAGAATAATTATTTGAATTAAGACGGAAGTGAGTACAAAGAGTAATTATAATTAAATATTAATTGTACCACAATATAATTATTGGTAATTTCAGAAAATATTGGTCACATACCTGAATGTGAAGTTCACTAATATGAAAGAAATGCTGTAGATATATGAGGATGTGACAAAATGTTTCGAGTAAATAAGGTTTTCTGATGGAATTTGATCAAAAATCTTAGTGGGAGACAACATTGAATAAAATGGTTAACAGTGGTTACTTAAAGAAGCATCGACCATAGAAGAAGAAGATCCGTCTTCTGAATCTGAAATGTACAGCCACCATGGTATCGACGTAAAGAGAAATTCAAAATTATTTTCCACCTCTTTTTATCACTTTGTCTAAGAATCTTTCACAGTCCTTCTCATAAAACTTACTCCTGCACTTGACCACTAGTGTATGTATGTGTATGTGGTATAAGAACGCCTGGTACTATTAATGAACTTTTAGTTTCCATTATGGTATTAAATTTTACACCTCTGTATTCTTATTGTATTCAAAGCGTTTGTTAAAAAAGAGTGATCTTAATACAGTTCTGCAGACATGATAAATTATGTTGACTTTCCTTATTATATTGGTAGCTTTCTCTTGTATATGTTGGTGTTTTCCGTCCAGCAATTTCATGCTGTGCGTCGGTGGCACATTGGTAGAATGCTCGCCAACCACACACGTGGGTCGGGATTCGATCCCTGGCCAACGCACTCCTTTACCTCGCTAAGCCTGTAACAAGACTGATAAAGAGGGAAGGTTAGGTTTGAGGCTAGCAACCCCCATCTCGTAAACATGAAATCACTGTTACCAAAACTTCAAGCCCCATGTTCCATTGGGAAGTGAAGGAATAAACAATTTCATGCTATGTAATGCAACAATTGGTTATTCAGAAGTACCTAATATCAAGTTTTTTAACCAAATAACCAGCAGAATTCCGTCGAACACTTGTGCATTGTTATCATCAAGCTAAGAGAACTGTCATTCAGGTGCATTTTGAGCTGGCTTTAGATAGTTGCAGATAATCGATAAGAAACTGTAGACTTCTCTCTCACACTTGCTGACGCACCAGTGTAAAGTATCTGCATCTGAAGTGGAGTGACCCATCCTGTGAAATTCAAACTTTCATTATACCGTTCCTCGGTCAAAGACGCCAGTGAACCATTCAGGTCGCAATCAACCTTATGATTTATTATGCCACTGAAATACGTAGATTCCCTCGATTTCCCGGATGTAATTGTCTGACGAGTACCAGTAAACATCAAACATGTACTCAGACCCGGCCACTAATTACTTTTTTCTTTTGGAAATATAAAGGTATTACATACGTAGATGTAAATGGGTAGTTCATCGGTAGAATGCAAGCCAACAGCCCAAGTGGTCGAGGTTTTGA